AATACTCAATTTGCTTATGTTGCAAACTCAATCTAAGTTGTTGAGAGACCACTGTTGTTAATTGAGCAACTGGATTAACGGATATCTGAAAACACTCTTAAATTTAAAAAATTAACTTATTAAGTTTATATATAAATCTTTACATTTATAAATCATTTACTTTTTAATTTTAATATTTTACATGAGATTTTATCTACTCAGATGTGAACACTCAAAATAAATAATGTGTGAACTTCAGTTAGCTTTAGCAGAATGAATCATGAAATGTTGTAAAGAGTAAAAGTGAAATTGAAAACACTAAGATCTGCTTTAATTTTTCATGCTTTAATAATCCAAAACATATCATACTTTTCATTATGTTGTTTAATCCCTAGTTTATGAATCAGCCGTACTTGATGCCGACTTGGGTAGGCGTTTATACTCAATTTGTGTTGGGCCTTTGCAATGCAGCCAACCAAACCAGACGCTATTAATGTTGGGACTCTGCTTTACCTAGATTTAATTTACATTGGTGGTCTGAAAAATCAAACTCACAATTGCTGCCTCTTTAGATGTGCTTCATTAATCTTCTTTGAGTTAGGTACAGGACACAGAACACAGGACATCCTCCCAGTCAGTGGGAACTGAAATTTTTTTTTTTTCCCCAAAACTTCTTTCCATGGGTACTGTTGATATTACAGCTTCAGTAATTGGAAAATGACCAACAACGTACCTACATTTGTGTGCGGAATTAATAATCAGTCATTTAGTTTGGTATTTTATTTGTACCTACCAAATTCATACTCTGTTAATATAGTTTAGTATTTTATTCCTAGCAGACCAGGTGGGTGTGGAGGACTCAAAAATATTCTTAAAAAAAAAAAAAGTGTGGAACAAGTGCATTCTAATTTCCAATTAAGGTTTGTGCCTTTACTTGGAAGTTGATTCAGGACAGAATTCCCACTAAAATTAATTAGCCGTAAAGAGGGCCTATTGTAGATGTTAATTATGCTGTCAAATGTGTGTTTTGCATGGCTACTGATGAAGATTCGAAGCACTTTCTCTCTTCTTTTTCTTTTTTTTTTTTTATTATTATTCATAATTAAGGTATTGTTAGAGTAATTTTTATGAACTTCAATATAATTTCTTTTAAAACAATCTTAAAGACGCATCTCTCATATTGATTTGGTGCATTCAAAAAAATTAATTTATTTAGATATTAATTTCAAAACTTGAATTTTAAATTTTAATTATAAAATAACATTTGTTTATAAATAAATATAATTCTTAGAGTTGATTCGAAGCTTCTTTTTTTTTTGGGTACATTTTGAAGCACTTATTTATTCATGGCAAAGTTGCATGTAACCTGTGGTATTGGTGCTTTAGATGGTGGGGAATACAGGATGTTTTGCCTGGAAATTGTTGGGACGTGTTTGCGCAGCATGGTGACCTAGAAAAGGACAAAAGTGTTAGGGACAGGTGGGAAGTGGTTTGGTTCTCCCTTGTTTAGACTCTTTGACTTGCTAGGAACAGTTTGGTTTATAGAAATGGCACGCCGCTGGATTAAGGGCGGACTTTTTGATGTTGTACAGGGTTCGGTCGTTTCAATGGATTAATGCCAATATTGGTGGGTGGCGAGCTGCCGTGAAATGTGTTTGCAGGGAAACATCTCGGTAAAAGATATATGAAATATGAAATCGCACCTGGCCCTTGCGGCTTAATGACAATAGTCATTCGGTGCATTCTCCCTACCCGGGCTGGGTTTGGATTCCACCCCTTGCAAATATGTTCAAAAAAAAAAAAAAAAGATATATGAAATCAAAGCTGTGCTTTTATCATATTTCACTTAAGAAATGTCTTAGTAATCTTGTATATATACTAAAGAGTGCATAGGTTGGATATCCTTAGTACTTACTAATAGAATTATTTTTATAGTTGTTCCAAAAAAAAAATGTAGATATAGATTGTGCTCGTTTGAAACTATTTTTTGATATATTTTTTCTTTGATTATCTTAAAAATATATAAAATATTAATTAAAATAAATATTAAATATATGTATATTTTTTAGTGTTAAATAATTAAAAATTTTATTGTTACAACTACATTACAACATTTTAAATAAAACTTAATTAAGAATATTGAAAAAAAGTCAACATTAAGTGGTTTAATTATCACTCTTCTTCAAATAAATATCAAAACAGTAATATCTTAAATTTTATACTCAAGTCTTCTCTCAATCCCTAAAATCTCCCTTTTCAAAAAATAAAAGTTTTTAATTAAGGGCACCTAGCCCTACAAGGTTTGAATTTATGACCCCACCGTAATTAAATCACCTAATTCTTCAAAACTTGTCAAAGAGAAAACATGAATCTGACCAAGAACAAAGAAAAGTTGGGGTAGCTAGCAGCTAGGTTATGTCTCCACCACACATTAATCTTTTGTTATCCACAAACTTTTTAAAAAATATATCTAACATCAAACCTCATAAGTTTTTATTTATATATTAAATAACTATAATTTTATAGTCTAAAATTGTGTGTGCCATGGAGCTTCACGCTCTATGATTTGTGCCCCATCCATTAAAGTAATGGATTTCAAAACACACATTTTTTCTTCTTCTTCCTTTATTCCCTTTTTCCATAAGCATTTTTTTTTTTATCAGCATTCTCCATAATCTATATGCTTCACAAAGTAGTTAAATGATCGATGTGCTTCATTGCATTCCTCTGAAGTTTGTAGCATTGTAAAGGCTTTTAATCCGTGATTTAAAATTGATTATAAAATGCCCTTTAATTTCTTTTATTTTCGGTACATTAATATTTTATTTATTTTTTTTCTAGACGTGAAATTGAGATATTATCATTTCTTCTTCTAATATGTTAAATAATAAACAATATAATAAAATACAATTCTTTTTATTGATATTAAAATATACATTTATTATCTTCAATATAAATACTCAAAACTTTTAATTATTAAAAACCATAAATTTTGAACCTTCCACCCATGTGGTTGCCATGCCCCCGTTTCTTATTAAGAAGCAAGTGAGGACACATTAATTCTTCAAGTCAAGTAAGTCCTTAACTCAACATTTCTTATCTCTTTAATGTAGATACTAACACTAGCAATGTAATTCTTGCTTAAAACAAAAAAATCATAAATTCCGAACAACCCACCAGCATTCAGTCTTCTTATTCTTGATTATTATGAGTTAAATTTGAATCCGGACTGAAGGGTCCAATCCAATGCGGATGGAGCTCAAAGGAGTGGTGCGCAAGCCAATCCAAAGAAAATCACGTTGTCAACATCAATCGGCCTAACTAAATCCCAATTCAAAAGGGACAAGCAGATATATATATAAAATATATATGTTTCTCAGAGCAGGAAACTTGCTTGTTTTTTCGGCTTAGAAAAACTAATTCCTCCTCCACAAGAGAAGAAGTAATACACCAAAAGAATTCCATATTTAAACTACACCATTTGGGGTAACCCTTTTTTTTAATAAATAATTTTTTTTAAATATTAACATTCAAATATCCTATAATCACATTAAATATTAATTAATATAGAATTGAATTGCATCAAAGTTTCAATAAGAAAAAAATTCTCTCAGTACTAATTTTTTTATTCAAAATATTTAAACTTAATATCTTAATTAAAAACAATTTAACATTTTTCATTCAAATCAATTGATCATATATATATAAATTTAAATTCTAACTGTAAAATATCAATTAATAAGTGAAAAGAGGCACGTCATTCTCACTAGATTCTTTATTATTTAACAATTAATATTGAAATTATATTGAAATCAATTGATCATATATATCTTATTCCACTGCTTTCTTTCATTTATATTGAAATTAAAAAATATATAAAAATTTATCACTTTATAATTATTTTTTTTTAAAAGTCCAACTTTAATTAATAAAATAAAAAAACAAACTTTTTCTACTAATTAATTAATTGAACTTGACCCATAGAATCGAGTGGCATCCGTCACTCTTATAAGGTTCACCTTCCCCCCTCTTTAAACAATGGTTCAATCTGATCTAATAACAATTGTTCAAAAAATAATAATAATATTAATAATTAAGCCACTTTCCCTTATTTTCAACGCAGATATTTTCTGCGCCTTACTACAACCTATGTGAAGATCGACGTATATGGAATAAAATCATGTAGATTGAGGAAATTCCACTGTATTTTTAAGTTGGAGTAGTTGAGCTGATGGTCTCCAAGCCAGCTCAATTAGCTCAGTTAATAATGTATTGTGGCTATGGGTGAGGTGCCCACGTTGGACACAGTTCGTTTCATCCTCTAAGTAAAGAAAAACCAAAGAAAATTAGGTGATGTTTAGTTTTTGTTAGGGCCAAGTATTGAAAAAAGAGAAGAAAAACGAGCAGTAAGCTGTTCTTTATGGGTCCCTTCCCTTGTAATGGGACTTTAGGCCATTTTATTTGCCAAAAGCCTAAAACTAATTTCCATATCTATCAAATTTATACGAGCCTACAACTAGGCAAGGCATATGATAAGATCGAAGTGAGAAGGTGCGCACCACTATTACATCTAAGAGAGGCACTACCTTGTTCATCATAGAAAGTGCAAATGTGCCGCAAATTTGTAGGTGCACCGTGCACGTTTCAACACTAAAAAATGTGCAATAAACGTGCAAATATAGGAATTTATACATGTTTTTTCTTAACTTGTTAAATTTATTTTATCTATATATTACTCGATTTAAAATTAAAATTTTTTATTTTATAAAAAATAATATTAAACTACTTAAACTTTTAATATAACTCCTCTCGAGACATATTGAGATCTTAAAAAATTTTCATTGTTTAAAATGACTATGACTTTCATAGTAATCTACAAAGAAGCAAATTATAAGATTTAATTATTTTTTTTAACATATCCCCAATTATTTACAAATTAATTGAGGATTAGGGATAGAAAAAAAAGTTTTTGTGAGAACATACAACTCATAGAAAATAAATAACCCTAACACAAAATCCAATATCATTGGACCAAAACTAACCATTCGATTTAATTACTTTGCTCTTGAACAAATTGGTGAAATGAATGAATGTCGAAAAGTAGTCCTAAAGAAAGACATCGATCCATCTAATTGCACATGTCCAGCCAATCGTGCATTTGGTAAGAGAGGGGACAAATCACATTAAGGTTACTTCCAATTCCATCTCTACCATTAATGCTCTCATGACCATGTATATATACCACTACTGCACGGTTAGGGCTGCGCATTTGGAAACCGAACCAATAAGTTATTTAGAAATTGAATCAAAAAAATAAATTTGGTTTAATTTTAACGGTTTTTTATTTTTATTGTTTTGATTTCGATGTTAATCAAATAATTTTTGGTTGAGTTTTGATTGAACATTTCAAAAATAAAAAATAAAAAATAAGCTTTTAAAAACTGAAATTAAAATAAATATGATAAAATATAAAATAAAATATAATTTATTATTAAAAAATAATTAATTAATATTTATTTAATAAAAATCAAAACTGAATCGATTTTATTAATAATCAAACCAATCAGTTTATAAAAATTTGGTTCGGTTTCGATTCTTAAAATTAAAAAAAAAAATTTGGTTATTTAAAAATTAGTTCAAGTTTTAACCGAAACCGGCTTTTGCCGACCCTATAATGCGGCCTTTTCTTTTTCCCGTCATATAACATTTAATATTTCTGACTCATTTTAGGAGACTATGCCGCTGCCATGCACGTGTTCTTGCATATTTACAAATTCTTTAAATAATTACAGGTTTTTTTTAAAAAAAAAACCTGTTTAAGAATTTATTTTTTAATTAATATTTACAAAAATTAACAGTAGTTAAATTAAAAGCAGGTAAAAGTACATAGGATACAAGCTTAACAAAAGCAGGAAAAAGTACATATGACACAAGCTTTAGAGGAGAAATGAAATTAAGATACTAGGCTGAAACAGGGCTGACTGAGAGATGCGTTTTCGATCTCTTACCAGAGAAATGGCACCAAATCGAAATATGGCAGTCATTTCACGTGTCGTGGTTTAGTGGTTATTTTATTATTTTAAAGAACAATTTATTGTTTGTATTTTCAACTCTCGATTTTAATATCTTTCACTAACATTTTTAACATATTAACCTTTAATCATTGTTTTTATAAAAAAAAAATCAAAATATGGTAGGATATTGCAAAGCAGATGTGTACTTGAGGCAATCCTCCACATGTATCAAAGAATT